AGACTAATACATTTTTAAATTCATCTTTTGTTATTTTTCCTAGATTATGGGAACAACTTCCTAATGAAATTAAACAATGCACATCCATTTCGGACTTTAAAGCCCAGCTCACAAAACACTTGATCTCAAAATATTATTACTAATAATAACTATTAATTATCTCTGTTTTGTTTTAGTTAAATCAATTTATTTTGAATTTACTTTTTTGTGTATATTTATATTGTATTGTCATTGTATTTGATTTTGATGATGGAGTAAGAGCAGTTTACTGTTTGGGCTTATGCCTATTACTTACTCATGGCAAGAATATTGTATGTATACTTTTTACTCTGCCGAATAAATATTATTATTATTATTATCTCTTGGACTAGAACTACTTGGTTAAATTTAACATACACATCTACTATATATTAATATGATAATGTAGCATTGTAATGCTTTTCTCAGTGTAGTGATATGTTAACATTCTAGCTTCAGATCCGTGTACCAGCAATCCTTGCCAAAACGGTGGAGCGTGTCTCAACTCTGTGTCATTCTACGCATGCCAGTGTGCCACAGGCTATAGTGGAACGCAGTGCGAAACTGGTAATAATCTTCGTTTTTTTTCACACATTCCGCAAAACTTAGTGAACGATGTAGAAGGATGCGTCTGGATTGATTTAATCTAATATTCTAATATCCTACTATGTGCTAGAATAGGCCTACTCTAAAAATGTGATTTAAGAAAAATAATTATGCCTGTCAATTATTTGTCATAGGTCTATTTAAATGTCGGCTATAACTATTATTATCTTTAATTTTCACAATTGTTTTATTTATATAATATTTGTTTACAGAAATTGACGAGTGCGCAACAGGACCATGCAGAAACGGTGCTACGTGCGTAGATTTAGTAAATGCTTACGGATGTCAGTGTGTTGATGGGTATACTGGAACTAATTGCGACGTTGGTAAATATTTTAAGTCAAATTAAGAATCTTTGAACTATAACGACAAGTCAAAAATTCAGAATTTATTATTTATTGTCTTTTTTTTACTGTTATGTAGATATTAATGAATGTGCAACCAGTCCCTGCAGAAATGGTGGCCTGTGTACTGATAGAGTAAACGGGTTTCAATGCACATGCGTACCAGGGTACAGCGGGGATTTATGTCAAACCGGTACGTATAGTAGTCTTTAGTTGGTTCTTAAACTAATATCAATTGTTATATAAATCAGTATAAAATTGTATACTTTCTAGTGGCGGCGTCAAAATCCTTCAACGAGGAGTCGAAGTTCTCCGAAAAGGTGTCTATGTTCAACCGCGAGAGGTGTCCAAATGAAGAAAATGTTGGAAATGGGCACCTAGATGGCAGGAAATGGCACTTATTATAAAAATATGTAATTTAAAAAGTGTTCCCTGACAAAATAATTTGACTTTTCCCCGAAGGGTGCCCCGTGCCCTCTAGACACCCTTCTGGCGCCGCCATTGCCTCTTTCAAAACTTGTATTTCGGGTTCAAGTAGGCTGTTACAAGTTCTATACTGTACAATTTAAACAATAAAATAGAGGTGTAGACTGATTATAGGTGTGAAGTTGAACCATGTCAAAATGGTGGTGTCTGTGAAAATTTTATCACGTCATTCATCTGCCACTGCTAAGATGTGTATAAGAGACAGGTATTAAGTTGATGATTGTGAATAAAACGTATACCACAATCTCTGTCTACAGAGGTGGACGAGTGTATTTCAAGGCCGTGTCAGAATGGTGGTGTTTGTGAAGACCTTGTAAACGCCTATAGCTGTACGTGTCTACCTGGATTTACAGGCAACACGTGTCAGACAGGTAACACCCATCACTCTAAATATCGAGAACATGTTTGGAGATGTTACCATAAGTAGTGAATTTAATCTTCAGTAAACTAAGACATTGTCAAAATGCATATCACTTTACTTCTGTCATTTTCACTAACAGTTCTAAATTCTGTTTAGTTATTATATACTTTGTTTTCTTGTATCTTGTAACTTGTAAAGCTTTATTTATTCACGAAAACATAACTAAACAATTTACATGCTGTTTTTCATCATGGTCATGATAAAAAAAAAAAACCAAAATATAAATCAAATTAACAAAACATGCAATATAAAGACAAGCTTAATACAGTATAACGAAATAATGAAATTTACATTATACAAAATCTTAGAATATTGCTAGTAAATATTGTCCTTTTCTTCCCATTCAACACCACAGATGATCGATGTTCAATAAAGTTAATCTCTTCATGAGGCTTAATAAATGGCATTGTTTTAGTCATGTTTAAAGAACTTGAAACCAATGCCCTGAAATTATAAAGCAGTCTCCTCTTAAATGCAAGCTACAGTCCCTAACTGAACTTCATTATTTATTCAAAAACTCCAAAAAAGAGTAACAAATGCTAATTGGAAATGTTTTTGATTGTAGAAATTGACGAATGCGCAAGTAACCCCTGTATGAATAATGGAGTTTGCCTGGATTTTGCCAATAGTTACCGATGTGAATGTGCGGGCGGGTTTACGGGAACCAGATGCGAATCAGGTAATATTTCGACTTCCAGCTGCATTCACATCTGATCCGAACAGAAATTCGGACCGCGTTTCCGAAGCGCTGCAGCGTCCCTATTCTTACACTTTGATTCGAATTTCTGATCGTTTTAGTAAAGCCTTCAATCCGAAAATTCAGATTCGATGTGATGCACCTTTAGTAATTAACAATTTCAACAATGAAATTAAAGAATCTTTTAATTCGCCATTCACTCGTTTATTATTTGAAAAATTAGTAAAATTAATAATGTATGTTTATTTGTATACCATGATTATATTTAGAAATAAACGAATGTGCAACTGTACCTTGCCAGAATGGCGGCCTTTGTGTTGACATGATAAACACATATATTTGCGTTTGTACAATAGGATATGAAGGAACCAATTGTGAAACAGGTAATATATTTTTTTGGCCTGTTTAGAGGCGTTTATGATATATAACAATTTCTGAATTTTCTTTAAAGCCTTTTTTAAGGTTGTGTTTTTTTATCACATTGTCTTTCTAAAATCTATTTTCCAACCAATCTTGTTCCACTTTAAATTAAGTTTTTAATAATTGTTATTCTATTAGATGTGATAAACTAATAATTATAGATCTATTTTTATAATACCGGTATACTTTAAAGCAAAATGGTAAATTTTATATATACGTAAAGCAACCTATGAACCACAAACTGGCAAATATTTGGATTTATATATATTTTTTTATTGAAAGCATTTTCACTTTCTTTTGTTAGAGGCCAATGAATGTTTAAGTCGTCCATGTCTGAACGGAGGTTTATGTATCGATCTTGAGAATGCTTACCAATGCCTGTGCAGCGCAGGTTTCGCTGGAGCTTCGTGCGCCACAGGTAGGCAAACATTGGTGGCGTTCTTTAATTGTGTTTGGATGAACCTTTAAATATGCGTTGCAAATTATCTTACAACAATCAACAATGAAATGGCATCATCCCTTGGATTCACATCCATGTTTAATTTACATTATTTTATATTTCAGAGATAGTGGAATGTGCAAGTGACCCGTGTATGAACGGGGGTTTATGTCTTGACAAAGTTAATGCTTATCAGTGCCAATGTCTCCCAGGTTATATTGGAACACAATGTGAACAAGGTTAGACTATTAATTTTTATATACAAACTAACATTAAGTAAATGAATATGTAGAATGCAACATGATGTTTGTTGCAGTACATTATTATTTTCAAACGGACTATATTGTTCAAAGGACTTGTTTAAGACCTGTAATTGTTATACTAAACAATAACTGATCCTGTAAGACTGTTTACTTGATTCATAAACACAAAAAATGGATACGCCTCCCAAGTTTTACAAATTAAAACATGTTATTTTAACTACAGACATTAATGAATGTAATGGCGAACCGTGTGAGAATGGGGCCGTATGTGAAGACCAGGTGAATGCATACCTCTGTCATTGTGCCGGTGGCTTTTCGGGATCCAACTGCGAAATAGGTACAGTAAATGACTACAAGAAAAGGAAAAATAAACGATTGATGGCGCCTATAGATCACATGAACTATAATTATGTTGATGAATAATATCTGATAGGAATTTTCATTATTCAGTTATTGTTATTATCATCTCAATTGTTCACTAATACTCATTAATATAATAACATTTATTTTAAGAATTGAATGAATGTACAAGTAGCCCTTGTCAGAATGGAGGCGTATGTCAAGATATCATCAATGGATACGTGTGCTCATGCGCGGACGGATTCAACGGAACGCATTGTGAAATAAGTAAGTTTTATGTCTCCGAAAATTATTATGTGTTCCCTAATTTGTATCATTTTGGCGTGTCTTGGGTAGTTTTTTTTTTTTTAAAACATCATTCGCGTAATTGACTGACTGACTGACTGATTTACGTGTTCCTTTTAAAGCTGCAATAATATATTTGATTTGACTATGATTATGACAAAATGAATAGATTATGACGTTATTTTATATATTTAAAAAATCAGTAACACTAAAAACAATTGCAGTGCGATCAAAAAGTATAATTTAAACAGATAGTAACAAACCATACCGGCAGTATGGCAATCAATATAATGAATCAAATAGTACATACACATTTCAAAAATCGGTCAATAAGATCTTGCTTAGAATACTGTAACGGCTCCATTGATTGATTGATTGCTTAATCTATCATTTGATCAATTGATCTATGGTTCGATCTGTCAAAAAATAAACAGTACATAAAAAATATGATTTAAAAATGCTTTTGTTTTTCAGACTTTAATGAGTGTGAAAGTAACCCGTGTATGAACGGGGCGTTGTGTGTTGACCTGGCAAATGGATATCAATGTGAGTGTATTGCTGGTTACACTGGAGTCACGTGTGAACGAGAAGTAAATGAATGTGCAGGATCACCATGTGAAAACGAGGCTACTTGCGTGGATTTATTGAATGCTTATCGATGCGATTGTAAACCTGGATTCTCTGGTTTAAACTGTGAAATAAGTAAGGACAACGGCGAGAATATGATATAATTATATGTATAGCAACAATTAGTAATATTATTATATATTTTCGAGTTTAATTTACCAAACATTACTTATTCAATAAAAAAATCTTAATATTTTTTTGCAAACATTCTACGTGAGGAGATCTAGAGAGAAATTTAGCTACGTCTACAACGCACCAGAGTTTAACTTGGTACCTTTATTATTTTTGTCTTATTACCACCATTATGCATTGTGTGAATAAATATGAATCTGAAACTATATGTTTAATGTGTTATTGAGTTGCAACCGCATATATGGAGTTGCTAAATGTTTAATTCTTATATTGTTGTTTTATTACTCACTGTTTTTCATTATAGATATTCAGGAGTGTGCAAGCCAGCCGTGTCTTAACAATGGTGTGTGCGTCGACGGTGTCAACTCTTACGTCTGCCAATGTCCAGAAGGATATTTGGGAACGCACTGTGAAATTGGTAAGATAGTGCTCTCTTTTTTTGACATTTCACTTGTGTGTTTAACAGTGGCAGTACATGGAAAATAATTTAAAAAGCACAATGCATTAAACAAATTAAACTTCTGAATAAAGATATTTGGCTATAAAAATATAAACTATGTTTTTCAAAAAAGCTATGAACTAGTAGTAGAACTTATGAAGAGTTACGAAATCGGTTGATTATAGCTGTCAGAGATGCAAGTCGTGTGGAAATGTAAACCATGTGTTGAATTACAAAGACTGGGGTATAGATGTCATTAGCAGTTTCAAAAGATGAGCATTTGAGTGGATCACAATGGTTTAGTAATGTAATGGTGTAGCCTAAAAATCTGATTTTTAATTAATAAAACCCTGATTGTAATATCATTACAGAGATTGATCAATGTGAAGTTAAACCATGTCAAAATGGTGGTGTCTGTGAAAATTTCATCACATCATTCGTCTGCCACTGCTACCCAGGATTCATTGAGGTTGACTGTAGTACTGGTAACTAAAACCATTTTATATTTTATAATATCTACTAATACATTCTGAATGTACTTAGCATAGAAAAAACTTCTAGAAGTTATATTTTTTACATTTTTTTTAATTTCTCAGAGATCAACGAGTGTAATAGCAACCCATGTTTAAATGGTGCCACGTGCGTTAACAGAATAAACTTTTATCAGTGTATGTGTGTTAGTGGATATACAGGAACAAATTGTGAAACCGGTAAGAACGCTGTTGTCGACGGTTTTCGTCTCCTAAACTGACCCATATACCCTACTTTTTATATGAGTGCGGGGTTGATGAATAGTACTATGTCTATAATGTATATTTGGTCACTAGAAAATGTGTTTTATTTATATCTAAGCATCTTAATTATCTTCTCAGAAATCAACGAATGTTTCAGTAATCCATGTGAAAATGCAGGCGATTGTGTTGACTTATTGAATGGTTTCAACTGCACATGCTCAGGTGGATTTACTGGCGATACTTGTCAGTTGGGTACGTGGGTGCATTCCATTTGCTGGTAACATTGTACATTATCATGCCTACAATTTTGACGGTGAGATGGTAGCACTTCAAGCCACTTGACTCTTACTGCTCCATTGTTTCAATCATCACCAGGTCAACTAGTCTTAAAATAATAATATTTTACAAATTTAGGCGTATTGGTAACAATTTAATGAGGTAAACGTGACAATCACTCTTCTTTGCGTTTTCAGAAATTGACGAATGTTCCAGTTCTCCTTGTCTCAATGGTGGGACGTGCGTGGACAGACGCAACGCTTACCTCTGCGAGTGCACGCCTAAGTTCAAAGGAGAGAATTGTGAAATTGGTACGTTTCGGCGACTGTCATTATTTGAATTTTGAAAAGATTCAGAAAAATAGACGATTTTTTTTATATTAAATTCATTGCATTGTACCTTGCCAAAGATAAAACGCATAACTCTATTAATAAACTAATACACAAACCATATTTAATACTTTCAACATTCCATTATTCAGGTCTGCATTTGGTTTGGAGTAAGAACAAATCATTCAATAATAGCCTGTCAGTGACTGTTTTGAATTAAAAGGGGACATTGTTTTAATTGTTTGCTAATTATACTACTAACGTCTTAGAATAATTTCATTAAGGGTTTTATTAAGGTTAAGAATACATAAAAATATATACTGCTAAAATTGAGTCACTGTAGACGCACTTCAGTCACCCTTTTCAGAAACTGTTGATTTACCTTGCAAACCATGCTTTCCAAATCTATTTTTATATTTAGAATTGTCAGTGTGCGCCAGCAATCCTTGTCTCAATAGTGGACAGTGCGTGGATAACATTGATTGGTACATATGTAATTGTACTGCAGGTTGGATTGGTGTTAACTGCAATGTTGGTAAGACATGTTTTTAACATTACACATTAAGATCGAATTAAAATAATTCGCATTTAAGTGTCTGAGAAAAGATTGTTCAGGGAGGAGTGAACACATCTTCTCAAACGATAATTTACTGAAGATTTTATATGCTACTTGTATATGTTGTGGATCAATCACCATACTACAGTAATACTCTCATAAATACTTAGTTTGCGCTGTGTAACCAAACGAAGTAGCGCATTATAATTGCACAGTACCAATACCAATATGTTAATTAATATTATCTTATGAATGTATGATAATTACATTTCACTCAACTTTTCGAAAAAGGGTTTCAAAGCCCGAATTATAGTCAACACAGGTTTTTATTAAAATCTTTATCGCGTTTTGTTTTAGAGGTGGATGAGTGCTTAAGCAATCCGTGTCGCAACAACGGCCAGTGCTCTCACGGAATTGATGTATTTACCTGCCGATGCTCGGAGGGATACACAGGTCTATTGTGTGAAACAGGTGTGACTGAAATTAACTATAAGCTTAAATGATCTGTAACCAAATTTATTCATTCTTTTTCGAGATCAACATACAAATCTCCACGTAAATAACAATAAAGTAAAATATAATAAACCCTGCATTATTTTGGCGGATTTTCACTGAACACCAAATCCAACATATAAAGATAATCTTCAACTAGTTTAGGTTGGAAAGCAGCAGCAAAAGCAATAATATTCCAAAAGTTTACAGATACTAAAAAAATTAAATGCTAGCGTCGTTGAAATAAAATTCACAGTCACTAAAGCCGGGCACTTACTGTGCCCGATGGTTGTAAATTCTATGAATAACGCAACGCGACGACGTGCGCGCAGGCGGGTCGTTTTTAATGATGATCCGTTCAGCCTGCCACCGACAACTTGCAGACGGCGTGCGAGGTCTAGGGTCCAACCCATACAGAAAGCTCTGTTGGATTTGTCTTGCGACGGTCGTACGGCGCAGTGAATGCCCGGCTTAAAACGAAACGAAACAAATCTGTGACAGAAATAGGAATCTCATCCAACTTCAAGATCCATACAAACTTGAAAGAAAATACATGTATAGTGAATAGAATCTGTTTAAGGTGTTCGCCTTCAATATCTAGGTTCCTGGTTGACGTGACAAGTCCTACACATTACAGGAGCATAACTCTATCTGTAGTTAGACTTATACTAAATTTTTTATTACATCACTATGGACTTGATTTATTCTGTTACAGAACTTGATGAGTGTGCAAGCCAGCCGTGCGCTAATAATGGTATATGTGTGGATGGAATTGCTTCTTTTACTTGCTTATGCACATACGAGTTTACCGGTGACTTATGTGAACTGGGTGAGTTTATACGGGATCATTCCACCCGATAGTAGGCCTACATTTAGGTTTAATATGCAAATGCCTACGTGATCTGGAACAGAAGAATATTGTACCATTTGTATTTTTATTATATAAATATAATAATGGTCAGCCGCCATGTGCTGTAGGCCCTAATTTTTCATACTCAGATGCTACATATTATATTCTCATATTTATTTCGGATCACACTTCTCGCCTCCATACCTTGCCATCAGTTTATAATATTGAATCAATTCAATGCAGGTGTCTCGGACCAGATAATAGTACAATTTTTTCTAAAGATGCTTCATAAATCACCATTTTAAATAATTACATTCAAAAGTTTATTATCATACGGTTGTATTGCTTGCAGAAATCAACCCATGTCATAGTGCCCCCTGTCAGAACAACGGTAACTGTCTAAATTTTGTAACTTCTTTCGCCTGTCAATGTCTTCAAGGCTTCACTGGGCAATTATGCGAACAAGGTACTGTGGAAATATAACAATTATTTTTGATTATGTATTTATTTTTTTAATCAACATCTGCTAGTGTATAAAGTAATAAATATATATATTTGTAAAAAAATTAATTGATATCAGCATGTATGAAGTAATTTTGTTAAAAACACAGATTGTTTTCGTCAAAATTAAATTAGTCTAGAAATCAAAACAATATTTTGTCAATTATTTAGAAATGATAGTTTACTGTTTATATTATATTATCATGTATTATGTAGATGTGGATGAATGTACCAGCCAGCCTTGTCGCAATGGTGGAGAATGCTTGAATCTCGTCAATTCCTTCCAGTGTACTTGTCAAAGTGGATACGCTGGGACAACATGCAGTACACGTAAATATGAGCTTTTTCGTTTACCTCCATTTACATGAGTTTCACTTTAAAGAGCTGTAAATACACGTCCCATGTCTACGCATTCGTCTGAACGGAGTAATGGAAAGTTTTTTGCGCACGCGTGGGTATAGTGAATACATAAAGCTATTACTATTATAACTATATGAGTGAATAGTATAAGTGCTTATTCTCTAGTTTCAGAAGCTTTGATAGTTATTTCGATACTCTCGATTTAATTTATTGTTACAGTAATCGACCAATGTTTAACTGACCCGTGCAAAAATGAGGCAACGTGTTTGAACCAGGTGACGTCATATATCTGCGTCTGCGCTGACGGATGGACAGGTGAAACCTGTGAAACAGGTAAATTCAGAATACAGTAACCGTAAATATGAAAGTGCATTTAGCATCACCATTTGTAGTACCGTATAGCCTAAATGTTCATTCAATATATTTTGTTATCATTCTGCTTTAATTATGTTGGCTATTATAAATCTAGTATGACTGTCTCAGCAATTAAACTGTTTTTACTTATTCTTATGAAATTTGCCTTCATTAGAATTTGCTTGTTCATATTTTTGCAAAATAGATACTGTAGTTCAGAATATTATGCTTGAAATAATGTAGATCTAGATGCATCCGTAATATATGTTAAATTCTACATGGTGGACTGTCAAATTCAACATGGTTGGAAACCTCTTTCTTTCCACAATGTTTTTATTAATTTCTAAATGCTAAGTAACGGTGTCGGTATTTGTTTAGTGGATCCCTGCTCCGGTAACCCATGTTTGAACGGCGGTAGTTGTGTTTCACAATATTATTATTATACTTGTCGATGTACCGGTGGCTATGTTGGTGTCAGATGTGAATACGGTAAGAATTATTATAATCAAGATAATAAGAATACGTTTTATTATAGATATCCTTTTGCGATGATGCGTGTTTTGCTAAATTCCATCATATTAATTCAGATCAGTCCAATGTATGGCGCGCCAATACATTAACGTTTTGAAAAATATTTTTTCATAACGTAATATATTTTACCAATATATTATCTTTCATTCTTAAATGTGTACATATTTATTTTATTTTTTTATTTATTCTGTATAAATATTTAGAAACAACAAAAATGCTGATAAACTTTAAGTTTAAAAAAGTCAAAAAATTAAAATATTAAAAATGCAAAAATATAAAAAAATAATTAAAAAGTAATATATACATAGGGCCTATTAGGATAAAATAAAAGACGCAAACGAGCGTCTCAGCAGTAAAAAATTGAACAAATTCTGAATATTACAAAAAAATAACCTGGTTCTGCTCGTCATTTATAAAATTGTTAACGGTAGATCAGATGACAGACCACGAAGTACAATTTTGATTTGTTACTAAGTTAATGATATGAGTAAAAAATAATAAATTAAACTGACATGTATATTTCAAATCATCGTGTTTCTTTATTGTTTTTTAGACGTAGACGAATGTTCCAGTTCCCCCTGTCTGTACGGAGGGACTTGTGTAAACGAACTGAATTCCTTCACGTGTCTTTGTTTGCCACTTAATTCTGGGACATTTTGTGAAATTGGTAGGTGTTTAGAATTCCACCATACTAAAGCACAAGAATACTTTGATATCATATTCATTAAAACTGAAGCATTTAGAGACTAAGCTCTTTTACACAGCTCAACATGTCTGGGTCTTACCCATCAAGTATTTACTACAAGGAAAAGTTAGTCTCGAAGTGCATTTATTTTAGTGGTCTTATCATTATTACCGGCATATTATCCAAACAACTACTTCAACAAATGTATTAATCCATTAATATAAGCTTTCTCAACCTAATCTAGCAAACACCATTGACAATGTATATATAACTTGTCGTTATGCCCTCTCCAGAACAACAGAAAAGGATAAAAGTCATTAATAAATGGTTGAAACAGAAAAGTGATAGAAAGAAAAGCATCACAAAAAGTGATAGAATAGAAAAGCAACACAAGTGATGTATCCGAAATGTGAGAATTCTTTTATTCATATAAGAAATATACGTGTAAAAAGATTGGTATGAAATAAAAGGAAACATTAAAATATAATACTCACTTATGTTGCATTCTTAAAATATTACATTATATACATTTTATATTCGATTATATCTATTTATATAATTATTTCAGTTAGCAGTGCGTGTACCAGCAACCCATGTCAAAACGGCGGTGCTTGCAGTGGACAGTCTGAGTACTTCTGCGCATGTCCAGTTACATGGGGTGGTACAAACTGTGAAATAGGTAACACAAAACTAAAATTTTCAACTGTATTTCGTTGGTTTATTTCACTTTCGTTCTGTCAATCAATCGTCTAATAACGAGATTATTTCGAATGGCGAATCTACTTTAAAAACTTCATCATTACATTTACGATCGTCATTATTATTAATTATTAATAAGTATACTTGTATTATCTCCCAGCACTGAACGCCTGTGAAAATTCTCCGTGTTTGAATGGTGGTACGTGTAACAACTTCTTTACGCACTTGACGTGCACTTGCGCAGAAGGTTTCACGGGGTCTTTATGTGAACAAGGTATCATTTTCATACGCCTATATTTATATTTTGAATATGACGTCATTAGATATGTACACAGTGTTATACAAGAGATACAATTTTATTATGACACTTTTGTTGAGAGTCTATTATTTGATGATGATTGTTGTATTAATTTATTGGTGAATTGTTTAAACTAAAACATAATCTAAAATAAATATCATTACTATCTTTTTCTAAATTTTGTATCAGTTACCAATCCATGCGTATCAAATCCATGTCTGAACGGAGGTCAGTGTGCTAATTACGTCACGTACTACCAATGTGTCTGTACATCTGGTTGGAGTGGGACAAATTGTGAACAAGGTAAACACTGAACCTAATCATTATACTTTATACTGTAGTGTTTTAAAACATAATATCTAGATATTTACCAGTTTGGCTTTTAATATACATTATTTTGTTAGCACGTGCACTGGAGTGTAGTGAAGATATGTGCAAGAATGGAGGAACTTGCGTGGAAGAGACGGGCAGTGTTGTCTGTCAATGCGATGGTGGATGGACAGGGGACATGTGTCAATACGGTGAGGAATATTATAAGAATAAATCCTGATTATAATACCATCAACCAAATTACCTGCCAAGATAATTGACATTATATTATTGCGTGATAAAGTTCTATACGATACGATACGAGAAGCTTTATTGCAATTCTTATCATAAAAAATTGAAGTTTAACTATAGACCAAGAAAGCACATTACAAAAACATCACAAAAAAGGACACGAAACGCTAAATAAATAAAAAATTTCATGAATTCTCCAAAGAGAGAATAGAATTAGATATATTTACAATTTTATATACAATTTAGAAACATTGAAGCAAAATATGTACATAGCGATTCAGAGTAAAAAAATTTAAAAGGTATAAAAAAAGTTAAATTCATAATTAGGCGATAATTAAATTAGTTGAAATTTACACAACGAATAAAATAAATTCATAAAAAAATAAAATAAATTCATAAAATATATTTCGGCACATGGCCGGGATTATTCAAAATAATTATAACTAAGTTATTAAAAGCACTATTATACAAACAAAACAACATAATATCATATGGAAAACTAACTGGCTGTTTTACATAAATAATAAGCTCTCTATCCATCAATCAAGTTATTTAATTCATTTCACTATATATGGACATGCTGATGTTATATCACATCCATAAGATACGAATAATTTGCTCATAAATAGCAGAACTAATTCCATTCCAATTGAGTTGATGTGTTTTCATAATTTGATGATTTCACTTTACTTTTAGCTATCAATGAATGCAATAGTCAACCCTGTCAAAATGGTGGCACTTGTTTCGATGACGTAAATACATTTTATTGCGTTTGCGTGAACGGTTGGCATGGGGACGCATGCGAAATAGGTATGTATGGTAACTACTTTATGGTACTGAGTAATGAGTTGTTGCTAAATAATGCATAAATAGTTATTATGATGGAGGTTATTATTATCTATAATCTTTAATTAAACTTTTCCGAAATTGAATTGTATTTTTTTGAATAATGAAAACAATTGTAATGTTTTAGCCGTGAACCTTTGTGATGCAAATCCATGTTTAAATGGCGGCCTTTGTGCCAACTATCAAGTATCATATACGTGTACTTGTCCTCCTGAATTTTCTGGCAGCAACTGTGAACAAGGTGAGTCTAAATGCAAATGATATTTAATAATTGTATTCATCTATTTCGCATATTTATTCCATTTTAACACCAATCCAGACAATTGTATCATATGACATTGTGACGTTGTGAAATGAATACGTAAACACTGACGACAAAATCTCTGTTACTTTTATTCCATAGACCGAACTCCTTTCTGCATGTACATGTATATATTATAACGGAATTGTTTGGACACAGGGGCACCCTCAACACTTGGGGATGGTCATTAAGTTTGACCACATATAACACCCTGTCTCAATTATACCGCCCTGTCTCAATTATACCGCCATATTTATAAAATAGTATTATTTCATCTTGTAATGCAGGTGTGAACGCGTGTACTAATGCAAGTTGTCTGAACGGTGCCTCCTGTAATAATTTCTATACATATTACACATGTTCCTGTGCACCCGGATTTTCAGGTGAAAATTGTGAAATAGGTAAGGGAACAATGACATGGCAATTGTGGGCCAATATCATTCCCTTTTCATTCTTTTCTGAATTTCAACGTACAGTAATTGTTCAAACTATGACTTAAAAATTCCTCTAAAATACCGCTACATCATATATCCGCCATCTAAATCTAAACTATCTACTCAGCTCGTGTCTACCACTTACATATATATTTTGTGGTTATTATGATATTTGTAAAATTATTATTTATGCTATTTAACAATTAACTTCTTCATTATACTATTATTTTCTTAGTACCTGATGTGTGTGAAAGCACTCCGTGTCAAGGAGGTGGAGTATGTGTCAATAACAATGGCTACTATGAATGCCAATGTCCCGACAATCGAGTTGGAATTAATTGTGAAACGCGTAAGTTAAAATCAATTTCATCTGCATGTATACATAAATTTTTTAAAATTATGTTCATATAATTCGTCAACTGTGTATGATTTGTATCGTATCAATGTCTGTATTTCCATTATTACAGTTCGATGTGTGTGCTGTTTCTGTTATATACATAAGTACTGCGTTCACATATATTTAATTTTATTTCTGTAATATTTTGGTTTAGTGTTGACGGCATGTTTTACAAGTACCTGTGGCAACGGTGGCACCTGTATTGATTTCTTTAGATATTCCAGGTGTGAGTGTGCACCTGGTTGGACTGGTAAAGACTGCTATACAGGTAATACTGATTACACGTACGTTTGGTAATATTTAAAAAAACTTTCAATTGCGTTGATACCCATTTTACCACCTTTTTTCCACACAGCGATTGATCTTTGCATAATCGCAAATTGCCAGAATGGCGGAACGTGTAGAAACTTCCAGACGTACTATGAATGTACCTGCCCGGAATCGCATACAGGGCCTCACTGCGATCAAAGTAATATTTTTTCTGTTTTATTCGAAATACCGCAATCGTGAACAATTTTATTAAATTTATATTCATAACTAATTAAAATAATTATGAATTAAAATCTTTACCCGTGTCCAAAATGATTGAAAAGACAACTAAGCATTTTCTAGAAGTTAATAATTATTGAAAAAATAAGATATTATAGGCTTAGGCCTTTGTGTCGTCAAAATAAATGATGATTGAAATTCTAACTGACATTTGTACCTATATGCTTTTTGGTGTTTGCAGTTGTTGAAATCAGCAGTTGTGAGAGTAGTCCGTGTTTGAATGGTGGAACATGTGCAGATGTTGACGCTGGCTATACATGTTACTGCATGCCCAACTATGAAGGCTTCAACTGTGAAATCGGTAAATTACACCTTAGTATTATATTGTTTAATGTTTATATTTAATGTGAAAAAAAAAACAAACAAACAAATAGAAATTGAACCACAAAACTGTGTTATCTAACATAATAGTTTTAAACGAAAAGCTAATGGAGAACCATGTACATTTAATGATCTACATTAGGAAATATTATCATTTTTATCTAGCAATAAGTCAGTGTTCAGAAAATACATGTGCAAATGGAGGTACGTGTGTGGATATGGCACCAAATTACCGATGTGAGTGTGGGAGCGGCTGGGATGGAAACCATTGTGAAATAGGTAAGTGGCGATTCCGTCGGATTTACGTATTTCAGACAGCGTCGTATCTTCGGGGACAGTCTTAAGTCATCGTGAGAAATATTAAACATGTTTAATATTCTACGACGCGACTGCCCCCGACGCAAACCATCACGTCTGCGTTTAACTCACACAGACCCGACGCGACAACAAATCGCGTCGGGCTGCGTCGTACGAGTTGGCCTTTAGTATCAGCATGAAGGCATTATACCTTCACGGTATCTGTATTTGATCATTTGGTGGTTGTGATGATGATGATGATGATGATGATGATGATGATGATGATGATAATGATGATGATGTGACAATTGTAAACATATTATGGAAGTAAATGTTACGTGATTTAAAAAAAAATATTCTTGTATAAAATAATATGTTACTTGTTGTTTCAGCTATAGATGCCTGTGTTAGTAACCCATGCCAAAATGGCGCCACTTGTCTCAACTTTCAGACTCACTACCTCTGCAGCTGTGTGATGGGCTTCTCGGGCCTTCTCTGTTCTGTCGGTAAGTTGCTTTCATTCATTTTCGTCTTAATATATACATAACCAATTAAATTTTTAAAAGGGATTAGATTTGAGAATTTGATAGTTGATTTTTTTACGCACAAATATATTCTGTAATGCTTTATTATCATTTCTTAAAGATATCAATGAATGTATAAGTTCTCCGTGTCTTAATGGTGCCACCTGTATGGATGATGTTAACTATTACACCTGCATTTGTGCTATTGGCTGGGAAGGAGACACATGTCAAACAGAAACTGACGCATGCGCGACCTCCCCTTGCTCTAACGGTGGACAATGTAAAAACAAATATACATATTTTGTATGCGAGTGCCAAGACGGGTTTACTGGTGATACTTGCGAAATCGGTAAATATCACGATCTCTACGTCAATTTACTTAATCAAATCAGTTCAAACACTTTATTAGGACTGATAGATAAAAATGCAATAGTCTTCTCCACATCATTTTACACAAAATATATGACTAAAAGAAAAAACTTAATGTAATGTAAAAATGAGTCTGAACATGAGAGGAGAAGAACAGCTAAGGAGAAAGTATATACTTTTACCATACTAACATTAAAATAACAACTTGTTGTCTCAGAGTATATAAATCATTTACAGAAAGTAGGAATAGTAGCTTGCATTAGTAATTTGCAACCAGCCGGAGATGAAATGTGGCTAATTAACCACGAAAGCAATCACAGTAATTTTGGAAAAAAAATTGTGTATAGAACGGTAGTTACATACAAGCTTACTCAGTTGAACAACATAAAATTTGCCATAAAACAGTCAGTAAAGTGTATCTGAATCACATCATTGTGGTTTAAATAAATTTCAGATGTGAATGAATGTGCAAGTAACCCATGTTTGAATGGTGGAACGTGTGTTGACGATATCAACGGTTTTATCTGCACATGCTCAGAAGAATATAGGGGCATTGAGTGTCAGACAAGTAAGTTTCGTAAAATAATAATTTTGATGTATCTAGCATTGATGCATCATGGCGCCAAACGGTGCAGTTGTTATGCACTCAGTTTCTTGATTAATATATTATTTTAACTTTAATTGTTTCTTATTATATGTTATTTGGTTTTGTTACATTCTAGAATCCGGTTGCAGTTACAATTATACTCTAGACCTTAATGACGTAGTCAAAATTCAATCGCCAAATTATCCTGACAATTATAACGACAACGAGATTTGTCAATGGGTTGTCAGTGCTCCTCGAGCCAGCGCACTTCTTGTCCAACCAGAATCGTTTGCGTTAGAGATGAACTATGATTGGTTAATGATGGGTCACGGTAATGATGTTGGTAACTCAAGTGCAGAAATGCTCCAAATTACGGGCTACGCAAGATCTATCAACTTTTTATCTGACGAAAATATGATGTGGTTTACATTTGAATCTGATGACGATAAGACAGAGAGTGGATTTTCATTTTCGATACAGGCTGTGATGCAAAATGACTGTACGTATTCTTTAGCCTACACTTATTACGTTTAAATAATGGTAATACCAACATAATACAAATATATTCTGTTGATCCCCATTTGGCAGCAATGGTTAAATAGTAACATTACTTATTGTAATTAAATGATACTTGCGTTTTCACTTCGAACTGTATGCTAGTTTAGTTCATCATCATCAAAAAACTTCCTCTGTTTTCATTATATTATTTTCTTGTTTAAATGAAACATACACACACACACATACACACACACCCACATACACACACACACACACACTCTTTCTCTCTCTCTAACCAAAGTCGTATTTAATTGCTAACTTAATGAGAGTTCAAATACTACACAGATTTACTAACTGCACCATTAGATTAACTCGCAAGAGAGGACTTAGTACGCGTTCCATAAGTGTTCGGTCCAATAATTTAGTTATTATTATTATACTATATTAGACTGACATCTTATTTTTCTAAAAGAAAAGGAAAATAGTAATAATATTGGTAGCCTAGTTTCTTCTATCCTGAAGTTGTTAACAATCTTTTTTTAAGCTATTGATGAGTGTTTGAGCAACCCTTGCCACAACGGAGCCACGTGCCTAGATGGAATAAATGAGTATGCTTGTTACTGCCAGCATGGCTTTGAAGGTGTTTCATGTGAGGACGAATGTGGTAGGTTATAAATTTATTATAGGGTACTTGTTACTGCCAACATGACTTTAAAGTTATTTAATGTGATAATTATTGTGGTTATTTATCAATTGAATATACGTGTGTTATCAAATTTGCCAGCAAACTTTTTCTGCCAGCATGGTCTAATTAATCTATATGTCATTTGTATAAAATTGTATTTTTTTCCTGATAGGCCAATATACATTTTGATACAAGCATTCTGTATTAAAAGAGAGTTTCCCTTTGCTTTTTTTAACGGCGCTTGAGTAATGACTCCTTTTAAATCGTTTGATTTATCAACATATTGATTTATGGTATTATCTGTAGCTCAAATGAGTTCTAAATAGTTCCACCAAGTTTTTGTTTGGCCACTGATACGATAAAAATAAATCAAGTAATTATTTTTCACTTGTATTTTACAGATCCGAACCATTGCTATAACAACCCATGCCCAATCGGGTCGGAATGTTTTAGCAACGGCAAGAAATTTATCTGCATCTGCCCGCCTGACGTAGATGGCACTCTTTGCATCGATCCATCAGGTAAGCATTAATTGATCGCTAATATTGTCGAAATTCAGGCGAAATCGGTTTCCTGGCTTTCAAATTATTAATTTAAATACATATCAGCAAGTGAATAAGGTTATGTTGTTCCAAATATTCGGTACAATATTAAATTTTGATTTCTTTAAACTTTGAATTTATCATTGGCTAAAATAAAGCCGGTTTTTCTAATTATCGCGTCCACACACTTGCTAGATATTGTTTTAGCCAGAGCTGGACACGTCTTTAGCACAATCCTGTGTGTGGTGGGGAAGAATTAGCGTTAAACAGGACCGCGACGAGGACTCTTTTACCATGACACATTAGGAAAAAAGTAACTAATACGTGGTTTTAAGCATGCATCGCATAACTATGGATTAACATAATATGATTATTTTTCCCTATTCAGAAGTTGATCCTTGCAGATACTCTCCTTGTTCGAATGGAGCTACCTGTGTCGTTGGCGAAGACGGTATAGGCTTTAGTTGTGTATGCTCTGATGGTTGGCAGGGCCCTTTCTGTGACGTGGGTAAGAAGTAACGAGGAATACAACAAAATTATTTTTTTTTTTCATGATGTTTATGTAAAACCAAAACCATAACCTTATTGTAATTTTATTTATCAGAGATATATTTTGCATTCGATATTTAAGTAAAAGAATTAGCAATGAAACTACATCTGATTTTTAAAATTATTATTTTTAGACATCAACGAATGTGAAAGTTGCCCATGCCAACACCAAGGAACCTGTGTAAATGCCTTCAACCATTTCGTTTGTATTTGTAACATTGGCTGGACTGGCTTCACTTGCGAAATACGTAAGTTCAGTCTATTTCGTGAATCCATAAAGTACCAACATACTGCTGATTTGTGTAATATGCTGCTTTCAGATTTCTCATAACTGTATATTGATATGCTCTTTTCAAATATATAACACTATTTAAAGGATGTAAATAGTATGTCATATTAAGCGGCCGTATCAGTAGATGCCAATAGCAGCAGCCTTTAGCAGTAGACTGAGTTGGCCTACATATAGTTTTTATTGCGTTTCTTGCATTGTTTTTCTCTTTTTTGTTTATCTTTTAGCTGTTGATCCAACTGTCTGTTCTAGTGGTCCTTGTTGCAATGGCGCCACGTGTATCGCTGAGGAGAACTCGTACCAGTGTGTGTGTCCTCCTGGATTCCATGGTAACCGATGTGAAACTGGTGAGTTTTGAACATCAATTGAAGTACACATTTAAATTTTTAAAATATATAGGCCTATACGATTTTTCAATTTGTAAATATATTCATTTTTTCAGATGTTGATGAGTGTAGCAGCAACCCCTGCCAAAATGGTGGACTGTGTATCAATGGCATTGATGAATTCATTTGTATGTGTCCGTATGGTCACCAACAAGGAATTTATTGCGAAACATGTGAGTGGAGATCGTCAGAATATAAAACAAAAACAATACAGATGAATAAAGATTAAAAGAAATATTTCTTTAGGCGTACAAAGAGAGTCACTACTGTATTCATTAGCTCATTATTTTTAACGTATAGTTGATTAACTAATTGCTATTTTTTAAACTTTTTTCAGCCATTTGTGACTTAAGTCCCTGCCTCAATGGCGGATCCTGTCAGCATATGTCAGACTTATTCTTCTCCTGCATGTGCCCACCAGGATTTATGGGTTCCTACTGCAATATGCGTACGTTACCAATTTCATATATCATTAAATTTATCATCTGTTGCCAAATAAATGGGCCTATTGAATCATCTTGAATTAACCTTTCTGGAATGTCAATCAAACTTAACAACTGACCAATCAGAACAAGGCTAGGAATATGCGCGTGTCTAATAAACACACGTGCTGTCCCACAAACGCACGTGTTTGCGTACCGTATGTTTTACACAGTCGTTTTTTTGGGACCTTAGCAACAATATCCAAGGAGCGGGGCTTAGCGGAAAGTTGAATATTAAAGTAAAATGTATGTCTTCCAATATTGCTGATTGTTTTGTTATGACCTATATATATTTTCTTTAGCTTTCTTTCTAATCGAACTTATAATAAATATCATTATAATTTTAGTTATCACCATCATTAACGTCATTTTATTATAATAGGCATTATAATAAGTGATTTAGTTCTATAATATGATGTTTGTAAAAGCTCCTCACTTCGAAACATAATGACTCGTTATAATGACTTTGTTCTGGTTCAAATGTATGTTTTTTTTTTAATTATTTCTAGTAACCACAATGCTATGCGACAATCAATTCTGCAATGATCGAGGGATTTGTGTAATCACACATGATGGAGAGCAGATATGTAGTTGCGGAGAAGGGTACACGGGCAAGAGATGTGAAAACAGTTACGTGATATAAAATGACTATGTTTTGGTGTCATACACTATGATGATGAACTAAATAATAATAATAATAATAGGCCCTAATAATAATGTTATATTTATATAGCGCATAATGCCGGAGCTTCTATGCGCTTCACATAAACAGAAAAAATAGATAAAAACCCCAAAAAACTAAAACACGAAATAACCTAAAACTAACCAAGACCGCCAAGAAAGTGAAAAACCATCACCACCGCACCGTTCACCGGCAATTTAAGGTGCAAGACCGGCCAGTACATTATTCACAGCATGCCATAATGGTGTGGTTATCAAGCTGCCTATGACAAAAACAAAAAATAAAAAACAAACATTAGGAAAAAAAAATTAAAAAAATAAATAAAAAATAATAATGAATTTGAGATGTTTGTTTATAATAGACATAAATTTATCCCCGTGATTTGGTTATACAATTGCAATTAATATTGTTTAGCACTTTTAATTTACCCAATCGCTCTATGCGCTATCTTACTACAAGCTATTAAAATAGCTTATAAGATATGTGATGTCAATAATGTTTAAGGAAAAAAATGAGAGAATAAAAAGTAAAAAATAAATGAAAGTTTATGTATAATATTCCGTTCCCCATAGTTTTCATTTACATTTAAATGTGCCAGCAAATACAAGACCTATTGCAGAAAATCGTCTAATAATTATTGATGAAATGGCTTTTTGTTTGTTGGTAACTCACGTGGTTCTTTTAAATGAGAAATTTAAAGCTTCATATTTTTTAGGGTTTAATCAAAGAGTATTTATACTCTTTGGTTTAATTTATACGACTACTCCCTGGTTTTATCTTTTGTGCTTTAATTACTCAGTAAGCCTATTGTTTTTCTAATCTATGATGGTAATATTTGTAGGTACTGACTATTGCCTGAACCACAGGTGTCAGAATGGTGGGGAATGTACTATACTAGACGGAGGCTATCGATGTTTGTGTCAGCCTGGCTATAACGGTGCCTACTGTCAAACACGTAAGTAATTAAGATAACGAGTCAATCTTTGTAATTAAAAAGTGAAAATATTTTTAAATACAATTCCATTCAATTCAATTTATCTTTATTAACGAATTATTTGCTTGTTATTTGTTGAAACAATCTATTATTCCCTCATAGATATAGTAATAGTTAGCACTTTCGCACCTAGTACAGGTCCGATGACTTTGGCGTATGTTGAGATATTACAAAGGGCCATTAACTGTGTATGAATCTCATTTGAATAATAGTTCATTGTTTATTTCATATGGGACTTCATCGATTTATTATTCATTTTTTATATGAGTTATCTTTCTTTATTTCTGGAGTCCTTTTTACATGGATTTAGCTCCCCAATTTGGAACATGATTCGTATTGTTGGAGTAGGTCTACGTTCCTTCTCATTTGAAGAAAATTTCTGATATATTTCACACTTCAAACCAGATAAATGTATTCTCTACTTTACACATGTTGTTTCCAGAAATGAATCCATGTCAGTCTAACCCGTGTATGAACGGTGGAACTTGTGCTAATTACGTCACGTATTTTAAATGTGTCTGCGTAGAAAACACTATCGGACCAATGTGTAGCATCGGTAAGTATACACAGCAAATGCTCATTCTATATATATGCTTGAAAATGTACAAAAATAGTAGCTAGTAATAAAGTACATTATTTGTCTTTCTATTCCAGATCCGAATGCAATAAATGCAATAAATAGTGTCAATAGCGCCATCACCGATCAATCTTCATCGGAGATGGATGCCCACTGGATCGTTGTTGTAGCCATCCTTGGTACCATAATCCTTCTGCTTGGAACAGTGATGACGTACCTGATATCCAGAAATAACAAAAAAGATTTAGTCAGTGCGTAAGAAGAGTACATTTTAGTCTAAAAATGGCGTTACAGAGCAAGATTTTTATTTTTTTACATTACGAAAAAAAGTGTTTCTACCCTTCACTTCATTCTACAGATACCGTAATTGATTTAAATAGTTAACAAGCTGGACATTTTAAAATAATTATTAGAACGTTATAGGCCTGCATTAAAACTTTATTACATATCTTCAGATGTTAAAACTGTATTCGATCATTGGAGTTGACCAGTAGGTTTTAGTGATGACATCTACGATTAGATTCTTCTTTTTCCTATGATAATTATTATTGTTGTTATTTTTATTATTATTACCAGTTGTTGAAATAACTATGTCTAAATTAAATTGAAAAACTTGCATAGAAAGACAAATTCTCATTCATAACTAATGATTATAATATAATAATTTGGCATTTTTTGGCCAAACTATAGAGTGCAAATGTAATCATGTGATTTGTGTTTACTTTTCAACTGGTAATATATTGTTATGGGGCCTAGGCCATTATTTAGAAGTTAGCCTACAGTATATAATATTTACCGCGTATGAATTATGTAAAACCCTCGGAACTTATACTGAAGCTGCGATCCCAAACAGATCTGATCCGTTTCCCAGCCTGGGAACCTGAATGAATACATACCCAGGGGCGAATCCAGTAGTGGGAACGGGTGGCGCGTGTGCCCCCCCCCCCCCCCCCCCGTTTTGCTACTAAATTTTTAAAAAGGCATATACTGCTTATCTATTCTGAATATTTTGCCACCCCGTTTGAAAAATTCTGGATCCACCCCTGATACTTCAGGTGGTCTATATCTGCACACTAATCCCCGCTTCCAATGTCAATCCTGCATACGGCCACATTTGTCAATCTTTTAGATTGTACCTGTACATTACTTTTAAAGAATAAATAGTTTGAAGTTTTAAGTCAATAGAGACTCTTTTCCATGATGAGCTATACAAATCCAACTATTACTTATTTATTTATTTGTTTTAAGTACAGTAGTTTGTATACTTCTAACCATAGAGAATATAGTTAAATGTTCTATTTTCTATATATGTTCTAACAGACCTCATGAGTATTGACGTTTATACCTCAGTAGAAAAGTAATATATAAGAAAACCTACTATGGATTTTCGATTTACCTCAATATAATGTACAGAAATAAGTAATGTAAAATAGCTAACGGGTGGACTGGTTTTGTATATTAATATAGCCTTATGTTTGTAAATAGATTTAAGAAAACATTTTTTTAAATTGTATTTATAGTTAGATGTTGTGACGTACGAAGTAGCCTACAGTATATAATATTTACCGCGTATGAATTATGTAAAACCCTCGGAACTTATACTGAAGCTGCGATCCCAACCAGATCTGATCCGTTTCCCAGCCTGGGAACCTGAATGAATACATACCCAGGGGCGAATCCAGTAGTGGGAACGGGTGGCGCGTGCCCCCCCCCCCCCACCGTTTGCCACTAAATTTTTAAAAAGGCATATACTGCTTATCTATTCTGAATATCTTGCCACCCCGTTTGAAAAAATCTGGATCCACCCCTGATACTTCAGGTGGTCTATATCTGCACACTAATCCCCGCTTCCAATGTCAATCCTGCATACGGCCACATTTGTCAATCTTTTAGATTGTACCTGTACATTACTTTTAAAGAATAAATAGTTTGAAGTTTTAAGTCAATAGAGACTCTTTTCCATGATGAGCTATACAAATCCAACTATTACTTATTTATTTATTTGTTTTAAGTACAGTAGTTTGTATACTTCTAACCATAGAGAATATAGTTAAATGTTCTATTTTCTATATATGTTCTAACAGACCTCATGAGTATTGACGTTTATACCTCAGTAGAAAAGTAATATATAAGAAAACCTACTATGGATTGTAGATTTACCTCAATATAATGTACAGAAATAAGTAATGTAAAATAGCTAACGGGTAGGACTGGTTTTGTATATTAATATAGCCTTATGTTTGTAAATAGATTTAAGAAAACATTTTTTTAAATTGTATTTATAGTTAGATGTTGTGACGTACGAAGTACAAGTAAGGGAAATTATAGGTCTTGCCAATATTAATGTTGAAAAACAAATTACAAGCCAAAGTTGATTGTTCAAGTGTGTTTTTTTTAATGATTTGTTTGCTGAGTTTATTCAAGTCATGTATTTGCCAAATTGCATTTAAAATATAGGTCTACTGTTATTCATTGGTTGACTGAACTCATTAAATTCAGTATAAATTATATAAATGTAAAAGAAATAAAATAACTTATAAATTATTCCTGAGATTAGAACATAAAATCACACAATTATTTCCAATGGGTTTCTCTTACTATCTGTAGAAAGATGTCGAAACCTTCAGAAATACAATTAAAAGTTTGATTCAAATCGATACATTAGTCCGTTTTCATTGGTTTTAGCCCAATACCAGCCACTTTAAGCACTGATTTAAGGGTTATTGCAATAATGCAATTAGTGAATATGTATTTAAAACCATACGTCGGGTAAGTGTACCAGCAGAATGACCGTGGCGTAATGTGATCCTGGGGTATATGTAATTGACCCCGTCCGCGCAACATTTGGTGGTACAACTATAGCAGTGGAGAAACACTGACACTACATCAGATCTTAGAAGGCCCTCCATCACTGTAGTAGCTTCGGGTACTGTCAACAGTATTAGGCCTACACATCGCTTCGAGATAGTCGTCTGTGTCGGGTCTATAGCATTATTTTAATGGCACTGTATTATCATCGGGGCTGGATTTATTGTGTTCTCTGTACCACTCTATGCTGTGGGTTTGTGTGGTCATCAGAGCAGCTGAAACGTTTTCCTCTCATGGATTCTAAGAACATTCTATTTTTTCCTGACCTGCTCGATGAAAAAACCTTCGGTTTACATAGTTCAGTTTGTCAAAGTCTTGTTGCAAGAGGACACAACATCACCATACTGGGTACTACGTCAATTCTAGATAATTTTATGACTGGCTATCACGACTTTGATGCGATTTTCTATGAATCATTAACAAACTCGTCAAATTTCTATTCTGACAGAATACTTCTTGAAAATTTTACAAGCGACAGCGTAATGTCAACGTTGACAAATCTAGGTTTGCATTGGTTCAGATATTCTAATCGTGATAGTTACCTTAAAGAATGCAGTTCGATGCTTGGAGATCAAATATTAATTAGGAAACTGATCAGTTCTAATTTTGATAAGATCGTTTGTGATGTGACATTCCCTTGTTGCTCAATTATAGCCAGGTACATCAATGTTAGCTTCGTCAATTTTGCAAGCAAAGGGCCGCTGGGAAGCAGACATTTTCGTTGGTATTACGTTCCAAATGTACTTTCAATTGTTCCAGAATTTATGTCGGGATTCACAAATCGTATGACTCTAGGGCAGCGGCTACAAAACGTGTTATTGTATTTGCATTCCGTTGTAGTTTATGATTATTGGATGTTTGGAGCGTATGATAATATGAAATCAAAGCATGGTGTATTGCCAAGCGAGAGGACTTTCGAAATTGTCGGCAAAGCAGATTTACTTCTTTTAAACATAGATTTCACCATTGAGTTTCCAAGACCCTATATGCCTAATGTGATTTTTGTCGGTGGTATATTGGCGAGAAAACCATCCAAACTCAATAAGGTAAAGTATTATAATAACAAAGCAAACACAGTTTATTTTGTTGGATTATCTATACAGTATATAGACCTATACATTTTATGTTTTACACGCATTTAAAGTTTTGTTGCAGACTATTGATGAAAGTTATTGTACAATAAAAAACATTATCATTATTAGTTTATTATTAGACGCATACTTGTTTTATTCAATTGTATATTATGTTTATTGTAATGTAGGACATGTGCGTCTATCAACTCTTTATATAAATATACATGACCATAGTATTCCTGACCTCTATATTCATGACTTACCTCAATATTTGCTTGTTTTGTCTTACATCTGACCGTTAGTATTTAAACCGTTAGTAGCATAAGCGTTTTTACCTGATGATGACGTGGGACACGTCGAAACATGTCGTTCATAAGTTTCATATTAGATGCATTACTGCACCATTCGTATTTATATAACATTTTGAATCAGTGGTCATTTGTTCGTTACAGGGGTTGGAATCGTTTCTCCATACGTCGGTAGATGGTGTCATCGTTGTATCTCTAAATTCTCATTCAATATTTAATCCTGAGCTTCTGCATTCGATATCGATGTCATTGGCTACACTTCCACAGAAGGTCCTTTGGAACGAAAATGGATATCTTCCACAAACACTAGGAGGAGGCAACATGGAAATTTTTAAAGCTAATGAATTAAATGATGTTCTTGGTAAAGAACGTATTGTACATTTTTTTTATGTTTCGCATGCGTAATGATATATTTTACTATATAAGTAAAACCGATTTTTAAAATTTGAAGTAGTTTTGATGGATCTTGAATAGTTTGAGTACATAATGCAATTTCAATTTGCTGATGATAGTATTGTGGACAATTCGCTTCATATTTCTTGCTTTTATTAACAGGTCAAGGCAACGTGAAAGCTTTTCTTTTCAATGGAAACATAGATGAAGCGTATATGGCCATCTTCCATGCTGTACCAAGTGTAGCAATACCAACATCCGCTGAAGAGTCTGAAATTGCATTACGCCTTGAAGACAAAGGAATATCGATCTCTCTAAATTTACAGAAACTAACGGGCACTGAACTGTCTACTGCTGTAAATCATGCAGTAAATAATAACACGTAAGTTGATCATAATTTTATCATCGTTTATAGTTATGGTTACATAGATCTATGCCAAATAACACACACTGTAATAGGCCTACTTGCTTTAGTTGAGCAGAGAAGCAGTTGCTAATAAGAGCACTGCGTACGACTATCGGCTGCGTATTGGTGGGAGTCGGAGCAGAGGTGTCGGCGCAGTGCGTGCACGGGTGAAAGTAGGACATTAATGTTGGGTTTTTTTACCGCTAATTAGAGTGGTCAAAGATTTGAACAAACTGCTTCTTCATCTTTTTTTTTCAGTGTGTTACGTCCAGAATATTTTTAATTATGCCTATATGAATAAAACTTGTTTCTAACTGTTTGTCACAGATTCAGAGAAAGAGTCTTGTGGTGGTCTGAAGTTCATCACGATTTTCATCAGATTTTTCTGCCCCCTATCGACCGTACTGTGTTCTGGATCGAGCACGTGATGCAATTTGGTGGCGGACACCTGCGATCGGCAGCCTTTAAATTGAACACGGTGCAATATTTCCTGTTAGATATAATGTCCTTTATGTTAGTGTGCGTTGTTTTTTTGGTATTAGTGATCCGAATGCTCTGTTTAAAGTACTGTAACAAGAAATTGAGCACGAAACAGCAAGAGATGAAGTTGAAGCAACATTAAATGTGATAATCAAGCTAACTTAATTTCAATTTAAATTTCAATTTATTCAAGAAAACCGTCACCCAAGGGAAGAGAAAGAGAAATACATAAAGTACATAAAATACATGAAAACTGCGCAATAAAATTAAACTAACTAAAATACAAACCCGCTACAAGGATTAATCATGAAGCATGGTAAATTAAAAGGTTTTTGTTAAATTAATAATTTTAGTAATATTGTTATAATAAAAGCAATTCTTGACACTGTCAGAAATTCCGTGATTTTCTTATGTATTGGCCCACAGATGGTATTTTACCATATCAAATTAAAATGCATTAGGCCAGATCAAAGCAATGTTGACCTTTCTGTATTATAACCACTTGGTCTAAAACCGATCTGAAAAAGACTAGCTACTTTAGGCCTAATATAGACTGTTAGTAATATTGTCGATCGCTTTGTAATTTGATGTATGATTGTTGGTGTTAAACATATCGGTGTCCACAAAGGTACCAGAGAACCGTCTAATAGTAAATCTGTTTTCATTAAGAAATTACGTGATAATACGTGACTGATGTCTAATGGTGTTAAAATAAATACGTCTAAACCATCCTCTGAAGTGCTTAAATTTTACGAGAAAAATAACTGAGCCTCGTTAGTTGTTACGTTATTGTACTTTTATTAATGAATTTTGCTTATTGAAGTATTTTTAGTACATTGCTGTTCCAATAAGCGTAAGACAAACGCAGTACTTACGATTGATATCTGCAATTTACCAACCTATTTTCGACAGCACTATACCATAATCATACTGTTGTAGATATTTTTAAAAATGTTTTGGAGGAACAGGTTGCTAAGGGTTCTTTTAAGTTGTTTGGAACTATTGGAGCAAAACGTGATTGTTATTGAACCGAAGACCATTTGTACACTTCCATGTACCCAAAACAAACAAAAAACATGATTAAAAACCAAACAATCAAAACCACATAACAATGATTTGGATTCAGATTGAATTACCATACATCATCCCAAGTCAAGAAAATTGACTTCCTTGTACAAATATACATCAAAACATAAATTTAATTTAGTAATGGTACATAATTCAGAATTGCACAAAACGATATATATATATATCATATATATATAGATTAAAAGGCAAAATACTGAAAAACAACAATGCTGTGGGAAACAATGGCTGGATCTCAGTAGAGATACAAAAATGATAAGCAACAGCTAAAAAGTAAACGTAAGTAAACAGCCAGAAATAGAACCAGAGCTTTCGGACAGAAATATGTACTTACTTTATGGCGAAAAAGGAATTTGACCTTTTTTGGAAAGGTCACAATATTAAAATCACTGAAAGCTCATGTACGTCTAATAAACGATAAAAGCACCTGACTTAAAATCGCATGTTAAATCACTAAAAATTGCTTGGTTTAAGCGTCTGTATAATGAAGAAAGTTCTAACTGGAAATATTTACCCAATATGTATTTTTACAAATTAGGCCCAGAAAATATTATACATATCCCACATATTGTTTTTAGAGAACATACATTCAGGAATTTACCAAGTTTTTATTAATCGATGTTAAAGGCACTGTCTCACCTTTTTTTTTTTAAACATAAACAATGGTCACGGCCAACATATATACCAAGAATTTTGAATCTCTGGTGGGTTCATGAGAACAGATTTTATGGTTTAGAATGGCTATTCTGCTTTTAGATCACATTATTAACTGACAAATCACAATAACTTTGTTGCTAATATTTAGCAAAGTATGCAATTGATTAGATATTTTTTAGTTTTGTTTTAAGTTTATTATATTTATGTGGCTGTACATATACCTTTAATAGATATTATATACGGCATATTCGCAATGGAGAAAATAAAGCATCTGTTACCAAGACAACGGATATAAGTTATCAAATAAAAATGATAAAACCTGAATTCATAGTAATTAGATCCGTGTACAAAATTAAGAGTAACCAGATACACTACACATGAACAAGTTTTTAACGATTAATTTAATGTTTTTTAATTTCGCAGAGGTTGGAGTGTTGAAATAATTAGTTTCGACCTAGGCAAACCTTTGCTAAAAAGGTACACTTTCTCCATCAAAAGGCTTCTTCTATGAATGGAATGACCTGTTCGAAGCACGAACTCCTGTAAACCAAACCCAGTACCGTTACGATTTTTAATCGTACGGGAAATCCACTCACGATAAATCCTGTCCAGACTATCAAATTTTATTTAACAAAAACATGTAACATGCCACAATATGGCATGACCATATATAAGCACATAGACTAGTATACAAAAATATGCTGTCATAGAAAATGAACATACAGCTATTTACTTACAAAACTACTGTATTGTCATGCTCACGCATCACTGCGTCTTTACTCAGTTTAAAGTGTACGTAACTGCTTGTGCAAGCTTGAACACTCAATGGCAGATGATGAGTCAACAGGCTAAAAATACAAAGAGTAGAACTGCAAAAAGTCCAACTATCGGGGTTTCGCTTAAAAAGTACAACCAGAAAGATGGGGTGTCCTTAAAAGTTGAGTTTCGAGCGAACTTTGTTAGTGTACATAGGGCTCCGCTATCTCGTGACGTTTCATTGCGTAGACCTACATACAGGATCAGAGCAGTCGTACCGCCTGCAATTCTAGACGCTTTGCTATAATTTATCTTTAATAATGTAACACCCTGGTATCAGCTACTCTTGAATTTATGTCTTATACTTTCTTCAGTATAAAAGAGATTTCTACCAGCGGGATTTTATACGCGGTATTTGACTTACAAATAGTGTAAAATTGATCGTGGCTAGGAACTTAGGCCCATTGGCAATTCGTATGACGAGGACATCGTGGCTTCTCAATACAAAGCAATACGACTGTAGATACTGATCTAAAATGGAACAGTATTTGATATTATTTTTAGTTGTTTGCGTTTTAAATTTAAGACTCCACGCAGGGGCTGTCAATGGTAAATATGAATTTTTCCTTCTATTTTTGTTAATATAAATGTTATCTATATTGTATTTCAACAATCGTCTCCTATTTACAAGTATAACATGCCTAGTATACATACCAATGTATAATTAAGCTACATTTTTAATTATAGGCATAGGCATCATTGTGATATTAAGTATTTAAGTATATGTATACCTTATATATATAAATTTGTGTCAAACGACATGATACGTTATCTGTGAAAAATTCCCTTTAATTTACACCACGGGTCAGAATTATTTATTATTATAATTCATGTCTACTATTAAATTTTACATTCTGAAATGAAATTGGTTTTGATGAGCGCCCGTCTCTCTCACTAACAGTTCGAATGGTTTGAAGATCATAATTTCAGTGTCTTAGTCCACAAACGACGGTTCATCCCTCATACATGTCTCATATGAAAAGGGTTTTAACTAGTTATATAGACAATCTTGTATTCCGTTCAATTTATGAGAAGTTGTCCTATTCAGACTGGTCATATCCGGCCAGCTTGAGGTACTACAGTATTTCTCAAAGTTCCCACCTCAGCCTCAACCATGGGGGTGGGGTGGCTGAGGCAGGTGTTGGCTCACGGTTTTATTTTCTATGGTATATCACACATAATAATAATTTCGCCTAGTAGTGGAAAAATGGTTTTACATCGCATTCACATAGCATCGGTCAATAATGATTCGATGGTTGCCGAAAATCGCTGATAACTAATGGTGATGGTGATGATGATTAATTTTCTTATATAAGAGCATCATTTCCGGCCATCTAGAGATATTATTTCTTTAAATTTTTGCACCTCAGCCCCAACCATGGTGGGGCTGGTGATGGTGGACTCTCACGCATCCCCTACCACCAAATCCTGCATCTGCCCCAATATGGTACATCAGACAGGTTATTTAGACCTCTAATTGCCGAAAATCGCTGATAAAAGATCATAAGATATTTGTTGGTGCTTCATTTTGACTACAATGGTAATGTGATGATGACGAATTTCACTATATAAGAGTGTCATTTTCGGCCCCCTAGAGGTACTATTTCCTCAAATTTTTACACCTCAGCCCCCAACCATGGTGCTGAGGTGGGTGTGGGCTCACGGCTTTGAAGTAGGTAAATTGTTTTTAGGTTTCATTTTCTATGGTACCGGTACTTCACAAATATTAATTAGATCTCTATAGTTGCCGAAATCGCTGATAAAAGTTCATGTTGGTGATTTATACTTTTTGTACACCTCAGCCCCAACCATGGTGGGCTGAGGGAGGATGGTGGGTGTGGTCTCACGAAATGTCCCATGCCCACCTGTCAAAACAGATTTGCGCCCTTGACCGTAGAACATTATTATTTTCGTTTAATGAAATTTTATTCCAGATTAAAGAACACCCTGTAATAACATGTTAATTGTATCAGGGAGCTGATTGATAAAACCTTCGTGTACCGTACATGCGCACATTGTATGTTACATTGGGACACCCCTAATTGACAGTCATTTGGGACTACGTAGCTCATGTTTAATCGTCATCTTTGCCAACTAAATCGTCATAGCTTTGCTTTCGTCTAGATGCTGCACAGACTGATGAGTATTAAAGTAGAAGTAGAAGTAGAACACTAAAGAAACTTTGAGAATTTCTCGAGATGTGGATCCGTAATCTTGGATTAGAAATCATTCGATCCCATACAATACCGGTATGGCGTTGGAAGAGCTTAAATGAGTCCTCCCTAATTGTTGACACCATTCTTGTCTCGCTGAGTCTTACTGAATTTGACAGGGCCGGCGGAACTTTTTTTCAAAGTGGGGGGGGGGGGCATTTATAAGATGAATGGGAATATGAATCATGCAGATCTGGAATCAAATCTAGGGGGTCCGGGGTCCTCCCCCGGGAAAATTTTGATTTCTAGATGGCGGGCAATTACTTTTCTCGACTTTTGAGCTAGGTGTCTAATAATGACTTTGTTCTTCAAAATTCAAGGTTTTCTCCCTCTTGAAAACGGTCAGGTAAACTTTCTCATTCTTATTACAGTAAATAGGCCTGATTTCTTTTTTCAATGAATGGATAAGGTCCGGGGGTTCTCCCCCGGGAAAATTTCGATTTCTAGATGGCGGGAAATATGAGCTTTCCTGACTTCTGAAATGTCATTTATAAATGACTTCAATTTCTTCAGAATTCAAGGTTTTTTTGTTTATGTGTATACACATAAACAAATGAGTAGTTGCATGCGTATTCTTTTTTCAATGAATCGATAAATTCCAACAAGAAAGGGTGGTCCGGGGGTTCTTCCCCTGGAAAATTGTGATTCCTAGATGGCGGGAAATGAGCTTTTTCGACATTTGAATTGTGTTTTAATGACTTTTATGTTCTTCAAAATTCTAATTTTCTTAAGTGTAAAAATTTTTTTTTTTTAAATCAGCTCACGGGTCCTTTTATTTGGCCCAAGGGAGGGGTCAGGACCAATGACCCCCTCCCCCAGATCCGCCAATGTGAATTGCGAGAAAATGTAACTCGGTCGGGGACTGGATAAACATTCTCTTTCCCATCCTTCTCCTCCTTCCCTCTTTCTTTTCTTGCATTTCTTTCCGATCATACAAAAATCTCCAGACATTATATA